GGTCCGTTTCATGCTTAATCGCGCATTTATCTGTAGTATATGTCACGTATACTATAGATAAATGTGCGCTTAAGCATGAAACGGACCGCAGCCTAGGTAATCCGTCGGACTGACCTGTATGTAAATGCAACATCCTGTACATTACACTGCAATATATTTTTAATAAAATAATAATTTAATTAATTAATAAATGAAATGTGTAGAATAACTTGAAAAGTAGTAGATACAAAAATTACATTTCAGTAAGGAAAAAGTTAAGTGGTCTCGCGGACTGACTGCAGGGGTTGCGAATATAGGAGGTCTCAAGTTTTTTAAATTCTATCATCACCTCAGGATTTTTTCCGGGTCCTAGTATCTTTCATCACTACTATTAACAGTAAGTTAATCAGTTGATTGGTAAATTGAATCAGAAAGATTAATTCGAGTGAAATCTCGAATTGATTTCTCCTATTACAAGGCGATGTGTCATTGGTTTTTTTTTTATATTGTAATATATTGCTGTGATGCATTTCGGAAGACATTTTAATATAACTGTAATATTACATTAACATTACGATAATACTTCTACTATATTAGAGTGTAATATTGCAATGGAAAAACAATATTACTGTGATATTGCAGGAATATTACGTGCATAGACTTATGTCTATGATTACGTGCTATGTGGAAGATTTTGAGTGCGCTTAAAATGCTATAAAACTGCGTTGATTGTACACACTTATAGTGCACTTTTTTAGTAGATTTCGAATGCGCTTTTAAAAGGATACTAGATACCGATTATCCGAGACCTGTAAATCGACGATTTAGAAACCTAAATTTTTCTAATTTCTAATTTTTTGTACTACATTACATGAAAAATGGTTCTACAGAAGGAAATAAATATAAAAAACGACATAGTGCTTTTGAAAATGAGTATATAATGCTCTTTTGAACTTTTTTTTTATTCATAATGATAGCATATATGATAACCTATTCCTATTCTGTCATCGCAAATATCTTTTATTTTCATCAACTAGACATTCTAACCATAATCTGTGTCTCATTATGTTCTGTTTTGTCGTACTTAGTGCGCTAATTCAGTGTAAATACATACAGAAGCTTAGAAATAATTCTACATATATGAATATACAGGGTGTCCCAGAATAGCCGTACAATCTCTCGTAGGCAGATAGAAGGAATAAAACTGAGTCGAAAAGTCCTGAACCATTTTTTTCTATTATTTATAATAAAGGTGTAATTATTGAGTAAATCAGGCCAATCAGCGCCGATCTTTAGCCAGGCGCACGTCAGTAAGCGCTCACAAACACCAGGCGCGCGGCTCACTGACGTGCGCGTGGCTAAAGGTCTGCGCTGATTGGCCCGCTTTACTCAATAATTACTCCTTTATTATAAATAATAGAAAAAAATGGTTCAGGACTTTTCGACTCAGTTTTATTCCTTCTATCTGCCTACGAGAGATTGTACGGCTATTCTGGGACACCCTGTATATGGTGAGGTTATAGAAGAAAACTATATAAGAGAAAAAATTTATACTGAATTGTGACACATTCTAAAGAACGAGCGCACTCTCTTAGCACAATTTACTTATTTTTGGGGAAGCATTTTGGATTTAATGCAGTAAATACGACACAAAATTAAATATTAGAAACGTCGGTTTACAGGTCTCTATATCCAGTACTTCCTTAAGCTCGTTCTATATAATTGCAAGAGATGAATCGCATGATCACAAGCGATATTGCGATCGTCGTAAGGTCGTCGCAAGCACAAATCACAAAGTTTGCCAAAAACCAAAGATTGCGTCTCTGCGATTTTGCGACAGCCAATAAGCATCCCTAATAAGCACATTCGTGAAAATATTGCAGAAAAATGGCATCATAAATGGCAACGATTTTGCAATGATTGCACTAAGATGATTCGCCATAACGCAACAGTTTTGTCGAAATAAAATTTTGCAAATAATATTTGTCAAAAATTGCGAAAAAGTTATGCATTTCCACAGTATATACCTCCAATAGACAAATTGTGAAAATATTGCACAAATATGACCATAAGTGACGACTTCTTGCATTTCTTTATATGCAATCATATTTCTACATATTTGAAACATCACATAGCTGAATTTCTTTTCTCAATTATTGGACAATTTCTTTGTGAAATTAATTTTGCAAATATACTGCTAAGATGATTCGCCATATCGTTATTCTTTTGCCAAAATAGTATTTGGAAAGTAATTTTGCAAACAACTACAAATATTTCAGAAAAGTTCAATGTTTTTACATCTATTTCCTAAAATGTCTGTATAATTGCAAATTACAATTTTAGTGCAAGATTTCGTCACATAATTTTGTAAATGGTTTCCTATCAGGGATTGAGCTCCTCATTTTCGTGTTTCTGTATTCTTTGCTTATTGGCTATAACTTACGACTAATGTAGATGCTCAAATCGCACGATTCTTACGTCTTGCGACAATGCGATCGTGCGATTCGTCTCTTGCAATCAATGTAGGTCTTTAAATCGCTAAAATCGCTGTTTTTTAGCGCTTTTCAGGCGCTAGTGTGCTACGTGAGCTTAATCGAGATTTAAGTTATGCATGAGTGTAAATTTGTCCATAGCGTATTCGGAGAAAAATTCTTTATGTGAAATCCATCTACGCGCTTCTATTTTCTGAATGGCAACATGATAAAGCACCTTTCTAGAAAAATGTTTTAGAATCTCGGAAACCATTCCATGATTCCAGCATAGGGCCGGATCTAAAATCATATCAGCGTCTAGCAATTTTTACGAGTCTTGAGAAAGAGGCTAATAACATAATGTTGTCTGTTACCTTACGAATTCAAGCCTTCTTTGAATCCATAATTGGACGTTCTCGTTCTTTTGACCACCGTACTCTGGAATTTGGAAGACAAGCATCGAAACGGCATGTGAAGAAGTAATAGATGCCAAGATAGTAGGACGCGATGAACCTTGGCTCCTTGGTGTCAGCACATCCTGTGCTTGTTGCTCTGCAACACTGCCGTCAGATGGTAGGTTCTGGATTGTATGAACGCTGTTTGCGCTTGTATGAACGCTGCCAACATTTGCTGCATCAAATCCTGTTGCTATTACTGGCACTCAAGTACTTGTTGCTAGATAGCTTGTAACGAGTTAATAGTTGACATCAACATGAACATTTTTGCCGACAGAGGCTGATTCGTCGCTGGAGAGAGAAAGATAGACTAGTCAGTTGACGTTGCCTTACAAAAAACGAGTCGTTCAAGGCACCGGGCCTGGCTTCCTGAGCGAGATCGCCTGGAACATAACGACATCAGCGTCTATCAAAACCTTCCGATTGTCGGAGATCTAAAGTCTTTATCTCTTGGCCTCTCGTTTCAGCTGCTCCAAGGTCATCTGGTTTAATACATCACGATCCATGTTTGTTATGAACGCCAGATTCCACGTGACTCCAGGTAGATTATGCGTGATCTGTCTCTGATGATTACGCGCTCCGTGATCAACAGCGCGAGGAGAACGCGTGATCACAAACTTGTAACGGATCCTTGAATTGAAATACAAAAAAATAGTAAAATAAAAATTTCTACTTTTTTCACAGGAAAATGCAATAAAAGGCATACTCAAAACGAAGTTAGAGATTAAACAAAGCACAAAATGGAACCGGAGCGAGAATTGGAATAGGAGCTAAAAACAGAGCATGAACTGAAAACCGAATTACGATCGAAACACAAAATCGAAAAAGGAAGCGGAGTTAGAATCACACTTCTGACAAAGGGAGACTACGACGTTGTATCAATCGATTTGGACGAAATGTATAGGATCGATAGATGACTATGTGGAGTATTGCAGGGTAAAGTAATAAGACGCACTACTCAAGCATTCGCGAGAAAATCGAATTTGAACATTTTGAGATATTTTATGAGGATATGAAATAGATCGTTTAGTCGAAGAGCGTGTAGCGTAGCGGTAGCGTACTAGGTTAGTAGTGTCGACGTAGGTGGTTCAAGTCTCGATATACTTTTTTTTCTTTAAAATTTTACAATACAATCTAAATGTAAATAATACGTTTTTTTATTTATTTATTGCATGTTATAAAATGTATTTTTTGCATAAAAAATCCGTGATTTAAAAAATACGATAAAAATTAGAAACTACAATAGAATGGCCGCTTTTAGATTTCTCTCTGGTAGTGCGTCTTATTACTTTACCCTGCAATATTCCACAGTCATCTATCGATCCTATAAATTTCGTCCAAATCGATTGATACAACGTCGTACTCTTCTTGTGAGATTGTTTAGAGCTGTACTTACTCTGTTAGAGAGATCACAAAAACAGTATAGAGACTTTTCTTTTTTAAAAAATCATAAGGACTTTACTGGCGAAATAAAGAAAACGTATTTTCACGAACACGTAGAATTATTTAATTACACTTATCACCAATTGTACAAAATCTTTAGATGAGCGAGCGAATTAACTACGCATAAGAATAATTAATTAGTGAGAAAATGTCGTTAAAAACCCGCGAGGAAAAACAACGCGTGGAGTTGTTGCACAAGCAGGACAATCTGGCACGTGGTTCCAGAACGTCCTTCCAGATTCCAGGTTGGATGGCTTCAGCGCCACCTATTCGATTAACGCAACGGAAGATCGATTATATATCGAGATTCGCACAATCGATTTCCTTAAATGTACTTTGTTCGATTTATCCATTATATCCATAAAAGGTCGCTTTTAGCACATCTGATGTAGAGTTCCTAGAATTCAGAGTCTGGTCAATGTTTGATCTGAAGTAAAACCATACTGAATATCGCACAAGACTTGCGATTGTAAAATAAACACGAGGTAAGATAAAAAAAAAAAAAAAAAAACGATATTAGTAAAATCAAGAAGTTTA